ATATGAATTAGGAGGAATTAAGGACAAAACCCTAGACATCTCAGAATGGTCAGCGGCGGTGAATTCTGACTCTTTGGTTTGAAATGACTCTTTTTTTTTTTTTCATTTCAAAATCCCCATATGGTTTATTTTCGCAAAGCAAGGGTTTAAAAAAACTCAGGATCGAAACATTTCTGATCCTTCCAAAAATTCTCCTTCACCTTTTCAAGCAACTGAAGTTAAAATACTCAAAATAGGCTTTGGTTCTCCTTTGGAAATTTGGAAATGGCCAAAGAACCACAATAAGTAAAAACTGCCTTTTCCACCCTGCTCCTGGGTGATTTTCAATCTCTTTTGTTTGCATTTTTTTAGGGCCCCAGCTCATCCTGCACAGCAGGGCTTTCACCAGCCCTGAAAGTCTGTTATATTGTTGAGAAAGGCAACGGCTGGGATCCTCGACATCCCAGCCTGACCCTTCTCTTTATCCCCTCTAGAGTAAATGATAATTAATTAAAAAAAAAAAAAAAAAGTCCTTTTGACCAAAAGGGCCAAGGAATGTAACTTATCAAAACCAAGTCTGGACAGCTTGTTGGTGTCCAGCAGGCCCCGCAGGTGGAAAATGGGGAACATCTTCCCGAGAAGAGCCATCCCATGGTGATGGCCATGCCCTGGACTAAGGCAAGTGATATTTTCGGGAGTGTTGAAGAGAGCAGCAGTCCTGGCCTGGTCTTTCTGGACAGAGCCGTGAATGATGGGTAGTTGTAGGGGGCAACGAGTGCCCCACAGCTCCAAAGTCAAGTGCATCACAGAGTCTAAAGTGCCGGTGGCCATGGGGTGCAGCATCCGCCCACCCACCCGCTCGCCCCAGGGGTGGCTCCGGGTCCCAAGTCCCATGACAGGCCATGGTGGTGAAGGGACGAAGAGCTTCTTGGGAGCCAGATGATGTGAAAGGACAGACCGAAGGAGTCAGTCACCCTGTTAGGAAGGGAGCGGGCCTGTGGTGGGACTGGGCGTGGGTTTAGTTGCTTGCCTCTGAGATGGGAGCCACGTGGCCGAGCCCCGCTAAGCCGCTGAAGCCCGTGTTCCAAGGATCGGGGAGAGGAAAGAAGGGTTGGGCAGCAAGGTTTTCATTATGGCCCAAGGCGAAGGCGAAGATGCCTGCGTTCCTCTCCATGTCCAGCTGAGCTCGCCTGAAGAGCTTCATCTGGGTTTCTTCAAACTGATTCTCCAACTCTTGCAGGCTGAAGGCGGTCTTGGCCCCGCTCAAAAAATGCTTGGGGCTGGGGCCAGGAAGGCACATGGCCGCACCGCCGAGGTGGCCACTCATCTCCTCCAACGTGGGTGGCATCATGAAGCTCTTCTCCACTGGCGGACCACCAGGAGCAAAGAGTAATCCAGCAGCTCTCCATGCTGCCGGCTTACGTCCTCGCCGGGGTCTTGCGATCCGGCAGCTCTGGCGTTTGATGTGGCGATGGAGATGGTCGGAGCGGGTGAAGCTCTTGTAGCAGAACTCACACTGGTAGGGACGGACGCCCGTATGGATGCGCATGTGGTTCTTCAGGTCGTAGTTGTGCACGAATTTGGCATTGCAGTGGATGCAGAGGTACGGCCTCTCCCCCGTGTGCTTCCGCATGTGGATTTTGAGCTTGTCCTGCCTGCAAAAAAAAAAAAAAAAAAAAAAAAAAGAAAAAAAAAAAAAAAGAAAAAAAAAAAAAAAAGAAAAAAAGAAAAAAGAAAAAAAGAAAAAAAGAAAAAAAAAGAAAAAAAAAGGCACGTGGTCAGGTGGCGTGGGGTGGAAGGGATGTGGTTGGGATTGCTCTTTGGATCAGGAGAGGGAAAGACAACGGGAAGGTGGGGAGCTCATCCCAGGGCTTCTACCCACACCACTGCCCCAATGTATTTCTTCCATCCCAAAGAGTCCAGAAAAGTCTAAATTGGAGGGAAAAAAAAAAAAAATCCTCTGGAACGAAGCCAAAATGCATATAAGAATATCTAAATAAGTACAGACATGAAAATCAGTTGTGGGGCAACGCTGCTTATATCAAGCCCCTCTGGGAGCTGATTTTCCCTTCCTTTTATCCTTGCATTGACCACTGGGTGTCTCAAGAGCTTTTGTTTGAAGCAGGAGCATTGCACAGGGTGAGGCAGGCAGAGGTGCAGGCAGAGGTGCAGGCAGCACCCACTCTCCTTCCCACCCATCTCCTCCAAAGCCAGCACACATCCAGCCTCATGCACATCTCGGAGAAGATTTTTAAACACAGCCACAGAACAGCGTCATACCCATCCCAATAGAACTTATTTATAAATATAGTTGGTTTTTTTTTTTCAAGGGGAACATCTAAAAGTAGCATTTTTATTTTATTATTACTATTTTATTTTCCTAAGCTGCCAGTCCAATCACTATCTTTATTTATTTTTTTCTAATTAATAAGTGTTTCCTTCTGCAGTCAAAAAAAATCAAAAAAAAGTAAAAAAAAATCAAAGCTAAGGCATATGATTATAAAAAGTGAAGCTGATTGTAGCTGAACTGAGCCAACCAAGCATGCTGCCTAGATTGCAACAGCAGAGTTCAAGTAAGTAAACAGCAAAGTGAGAGAATTCATATTCTTTTCCAAAATGCATTCAGTGTGATCCCTCTGAGACATTAGTAACAGGGATAAGAATACGGAGAATATATGGAGTCATGTCTTATTATACATAAAATATGTGACCCTGCGAGGAAAAAAGCAAAAACCACAAAAAAAATCTATTTATGCTGGCAAATCAAGCACCCAAAACTTCCAAGGTGTTGCTTTTGCACTAATTTCTGCCACCCTGCCTGTGTGCATCTTGAAATAGTTCTCGGTGATGTGACTGGCAGCATGCCAGTGTCAGCCATGCCCAGGGCCAGATCCCAACTTCCCACTTCCAAATTTTCAAAGATGCTGTTAAAATCCCAAGATCCCAACTTCCCACTCACAAATTTTCAAAGATGCTGTTAAAATCCCAAGATCCCAACTTCCCACTCACAAATTTTCAAAGATGTTGTTAAAATCCCACAATTTTAACAAGGACATATCTCTTCTGCAAATACCAAAGACAAAGCAGCGTGGAAAATTTCACCTCAAACAGATAATGCGCAGCGAAGTCGTTAAGCAGATGAACACAGGGGCTCATAATGTTGGAAAATGATAATAAAAAGCAGAGCTACCAGCCCCACCTATAATATAATTTAAACCTATATATGTAATGTTTAACCTAGCAGGATTGCTTTTCCTAATAAACACACAACGTGCCAGGACTCTATAATGTAAATACAGCCAAAGATTTTTTTTTTTTTTAATTTATTAATTTTTTTTTCCAGGCTATTACCCATCTCTGGCAGCAGATGGGAAGAAACTCAATCCTCCCTGCCCCGGCAGCATCTCCGTGGGATGGAAGAGAGGTTTTATGGCTCTACCTGGAGAAGCTGAGAGGATGGAGGGGGTGAGATGCTCCAGCTGCGGTGAAGCACCCAGGGGAGGATGCGGCACGGGAAACACAGGTTTTGTGGGATGGGAGCTGGGCTCTCTGAAGGAGAACCACGCTTTCTGTGTGTGAATAACCTTAATGCAATTGCGTTAGGAGAGCGATTAGGGCTCTGTGAGCTGTCACAACACCAATAATAGGAACAAATAATGTTAACCTTTCTGACTCGAACAGTTTCTCCTTGAGCACTCCGGGGGTTGTCTTGGTGGAAAAGCTGAAATATTTGCAGTTTTCTCCAGCGTTTTAGCAGGGTAAAACAGAAAACTAGAAGCTGAGCAGTCCTTGTTTAACGAAAAAATTAATGAGCTATTAAATGAAGTCCTGCTTCCTGCACTAGGATGTCCCTGCGAGTCGGGGGTGGCAGATCCAGGTGCACGTGGGGTCCTTGCTGTGGGATGCAGGATCCCACTGATGCGAAGGGAAAAGGATCTGATGGGGAGACTGGGGGAATCCCTACCCAGGAAAAGAGATTTTCTCTATTTCCTCACAAGTAAATTTGTTCCTCCGCAGTCCCTTGAGCATAAAAATAACGCAAAGGACTGATTAATCCAGAAATCCCATTTGGGAACTTCTGCTCCCCTGCACCCTAATTCCCAGGGGGGACCATCCATGTTTGAATGTCCCTGGAGAAGGCACCACTCGCTGCCGTGGGTGTGAGTTCCATGATTTTGGGAAGCATGAGATTCCCCTCGAGAGCAAAACATGTAACATAAGCGGTGGGGTTCAAGAAATCCCGTCAGAAATCTCTTTCTTGATCACTGCACTTTGTTTAAATACACTTTCCCCTAAAGGAGAGCTCTCACATTAGAGTAATGCTGAAAATGATTTTTTTTTAGAAAAGTAAATAAAAACCAAACAGCTGCACACTATTCAAAATACTTCCAAACGCATTCAAAAATAAATGAATGTTCTGAAATTTCCACTTTGCTCAGGGTGTTAAAGAAGGGAAAAAAAACCCCAACCCTCCAGCCTTCAGCTCCATGCAGGGTGGCCCAAACGAATGGCTTCGTTTTCATGAGTGATGGTGTGAGACTGCACCATTGGGTTAGTCCCAACTTTCTTTGTGATTATTTTATTGGGTTAAAGTCTTCCTACCCCTATGCTTTGAATTTAAAAGCTGTTGAGCATATGGAGGGATGCAGAAGCTGTTTGGTTTAACGTTACAGTAGTAATGGATCATACCAGACCATCTCTGTGTGGAGCTTTTAACCTCCAAGATGCTGATTTAACCTGTCTGGATTAGGTGTCAGGATATCTGAATTTCCACCTGAACCCTTCTACTAACCTTCACAGTGACTGTGAGTCAGTACCAACATCCCTCCATGCCTCAGTTTCCCCAAACAAATACAACAATACTGCCCGTGCTTGTAAAAGACTTTGGGAGCCCCCTGGGAGAGCTCAGCTCTATTATCATAGAATCACAGAATCGTTTGGTTGG